CTGTTAGATATAATGGCCTTAATATAAGTTTTTTAAGATATAATGACACGTGCCTAAAATTTGAAATAAATACATACATTATTTAAAACAATGGAAATTAAAAACCAGCATTCTATTAACACGCACACAATATCAGTTTTCATTTCTTATCAAAATATATTTATGTGCGTAAGTTTACGCATTATAATTAAGTTTTTTTTTATATTGGCGTTTATAATAAACTAGTGTTTTCTAATTTTATGCCGCAAGTAAATTAAAAAAAAAAGAAAAAACAAAAAAAATAATAGTAAAAAATATTTAATTTAATTGTATTTTAAAAATAGAACGTATGAACGAAAAAATAATGCAATTTAAATGTTATTCAACTATAATTGTTTATTTAATAAAATAATTGTAAATTACCTAAACATTTGAATTGATAATTTTGAACTAAACGTTGTTATGTAGTCTATAATGGTCTTCCATGCAATTGAAAATACTTCTTAGTTCAAATAAGTCAGACCTATCCTTAAAATTTAAAATTCTAATCAATTGCAGTTGCCCCACGGTACTTTTAAAAATGTTCATATAAAATATGTCACATGCCGCGTACATTTAAGAATAGACCTGAGATATGTACAGACATTTGATATTTATATTTTGAAAATCATAAGATATAAAAAGAAACACACTGGTCTCTTGTGATACAAGTCATGACCATAGTTTGGTTACTTAAAATAAAATCAAGCAAAGACAACACATTATTTTAATTACATTACTGGAAAACAATTATGATATTCTACTTGTACATATTCTCTATTTTAATAGTTTCAATAGTAAATAAGTAAAAAATATCAATTCTTATTATTAATTAATAAATATGTCTTTTTAAAAATATTAATATTAAAATATAACGCAAATTTAACTCAATAAGTATTTAAATAAATAGCAAGCGTCTAGGTCAAGAAAAACGAAAATATGAATGATAATTTGAAAACAATAAAACTGTAATCTTATAATCATTAATTAAATGATTAACACTCTTATAGACGACATTTATCTTTATATATGTACTTGTACTAACTGATAATAGAATTGAAAAAAAAATAAAGGTTATCATTAAAGTTACCCCCCAAAATAAAGTCAAAAACTAAAATAAATCAAATCAAATTGCAATTAATATAACAATGACAATGTTATGTTTTTTTGTACTATCTACTAGAGTCTAGAAAGCAAAGGCATGAAGCGTGAAATTGACACCTTCATGACTTGAAGTATAACGTAAAGAACAAGAAATATCAGGGATATTTCTATGCAAAAATCAAATTAAAAATTAAAATTTTATGCTTTATTGTTTACGTGAATAATAAAAGGGAACCTCGCTTTTTAAAATAGCATAAAGAATATAGAAGGTTTTCTTACTCATATTTTTCTACATTTAATTCTACTTTTTTTATAATCAGTAAAAACGTAAAAATCTTAATGTTATCGAATGAACTAAATTATTGGATTAAGATTTTTTTTTTTATTGTTTATTAATTTTATTTCGCGAACATAATGATTTTGATATGCCGGTACTAAACTAATTAAATTAATAGTAACTGATAAGATTTCACATATCGTTATCTCTATACCTTATATTGATTAAGTATTTTTAAATTTTTTGTTGTTTTAAAAGAAATATATTATTTTCTCTGTAATGGATTTAATTGAAATAAATTCCAAAAAGAAACAATACAGAACAGATTGAAAATTAAAGAATTGCAAAGCATTTTAAGAAAAATTACAAAACACGAACTTATTATCAGGTCTTTTATGCAATGGGTTCATAATTTTGGTTTTTTTTCTTTGGCTGAATTAAAAAATCTATTACTGCGCTCATGCTACAAGACAATATTTCTGTATGTTTTATGAAAAATATATGAACAAAAGTGCAACACAATTGGCTTTTGATCACTAACCATTGAAATTCGAATTATTATTACTACTGAATAAGTTGCTAACACATTAGACAATTATATGTAGTAGCGCATCAATTAACATGACATTAAATATTCAAATTCTAACATAAGCTTATTTAACACAATATTACACATGTTTTTAATAATACATGTACCTTATTTACAACAAAGAAGTATTTTCTGTGTTTTTTTTTTAACAAAATAAGCAAAATTCGTTTTATTTCCAGTATTAACAGTGCTTATACTAGAATCTTAAAATACAATTAAATCATTATAATCATAGCAATTGCCATAGTAATTTGGAATTAATATTAATTTGCTTCCAATAATTCTTGAAATAGTACTAGAAGAAACTTTAAAATTTGAAAGTTTTATTACAAGCATAGAATTAAATAGATTATTAAAATATAATAACAGACTAACAACTTGATTGGAACAGCCTTTGATTAAAAATATCACTTTGAATTCCGTAATTACAGTAGTAATGAACCAAAAATTACTAACGATAGGAGCTAGAGTTACTGCTACAATTGCTCTACTGTTCAAAATTTTCATATTCAAATATTTAATATATTACACTATACTGACAAATTACTTTAAATCTTATACTTGTTATGCCTCCGTTTAAGATTTATTAAAAAGAAACTTCTTATGAAGTCCGGAAATGAATTTTATGACTCATAACGTACCACTATAGACCATTATAGAACGGATATAATTATCTAATTTGTTTTGTTTCAATATCACTGCCCAAAATTACTACGTTCCTTTTGTAAATTAACGAATGCGTCTTATCAATTTTTTAATGTCGTCACCGAAAAATTATCAAAACATTTTTTACTATAAGGAGACCGATTTCTTTTACGAAATACGCATAAAATAAGTAAATTGCTTTTTTATGTGATAATTGCAACAAATTTTTGTTGATTTTTGTGTTTTTCAATAAGTATGTACATATGTACTTAAAAACCCAAAATCGAATAAAGGAAGTTTCAATTTATCAGAAAAAAAAAAAATAATCATTTTGAGCTAAAGAAACATTTCTTTAATTTACTCTCAGATCATCCCGAAAAAAAGGTTTCAATCTTATCAATTTTCACTTTTTTAATGGTAAAATCTACACACATAGGGAGAACTGAAAACAAAATTTTGTTTTTTTTTTTTTTGAAGTTTTTTTGATAATTATTTTTTCCTTTGTTTTTTTGTTTTGAGAATAAAGAAAAACACTTTGAAGTGATACGCATCAGGTGCATTAAGTTCTTAGATTTTGAATTTATCAGTTGTAATAATACATATACATACTTATACGATGTAAATGTTTATAGGGTGGGCCAAATTCGTTTGGAATAAATCTAAATTTAGTTCACATTAAAAGTACGCATAAGCAATATTTAAATCTTGTAAAAATAGATTTTGAAAAAAGATCGCTTTTCCTCTAATATAGATTATTTGAACTAAGAATTAATAACATGTTATTAAAATGTGAAAAACTCGAACAATCAAATTTCAGATGTTCCTTTTTTAAAATTATTCTGGATTTCCTTGTGATCAGAGTGCTAACTTGCCACTGTTCCCTATTGTGTCGGAAATTTAACACGTTTTATACTAAAAGTATTTTACTTGATTCAACTTGAGTATGTTTTAAATTTGCAAATGTACTCTTTACTTCAATTCTTAATTAATTGAACTTTCATCTGTATGCAACTTCTTTAAGAAAAACAAAAAATATGGTGAATGATCCACTCAATCACACAGATGTATTTAGGATATTTTTTTTTTCTTAAATTCACTCTAAGAGGCTCTCATTTTAATTCCCAATGTATCCAGAAATCCAGACGATTAGTACTTTGGTTTGCATTTTTGTTTTTATTTTTTCCCTTGTTTACAGACTCACATGAAGTTCTTTACTCTCTTTATTATGTCCACTTTTCAATCGCATTCATATATATATGTACCTTAAAGAGGAGAACTTAAAACAAAAAAAAAAACACTTGAAAGATTAAAATTATTGTAAAGTGAATATATAAAAAAATATTTTGAGAAGCCAAATATATTATTGGTTCCAATAGTTTTTCAATTTGTACAGGTTTTGTATACAACCATTCAAACCAAATTTCAATAATAAAGAACACAACACTAAAGATTGAAAAGATATTTTGTGAAAATTTTATTATAAGAGAAAGATATTTTCATTGATTATATTGGATTTTAAGGTTTCCTATGAAATTAATTTGTTTAAATTTTAAATATATTCCAAAAGAAAAATAAAGAAAAAAACAAAAATATTCAACTAAGCATTTAAAATGTCAGAAGGAATATGAAAATTTTAAATAAAGATTGTATGGTGCATCATGGGTGGGAAATAATATTTTTTACTTTGAAGAATTGTAGTGGAAGGGATTTTATCTAATTTTAAAACTTCTTCGGCCTTGATTTGCTTTGATTTATATTATTTCTACATTTATCAAAATCTTTAAATTTTTTTGGTGAATCATTCAATTATTTTATTATTAGAACGCAAAATATTTTTTAAAAACTTATAATTGTGAAAATTTATTATTTCTGTAATGTTTAATAAATATTGGGAAATAGAAACTAAAAAAGAATGTGTTAGGAAAAATAGAAAATTTTACAAATTTTTTAAATTATAAACTAAAAACTTTAACAATTCATTTTAATTAAATAATAAGTACTATTGTACTAAAAAATAGAAAAAATGAAATGTGCTTACATTTTCAATTTGATATAAACTAAAAGTTCATCAACATTTTATCTTATCATTTTAATCTAAAGAATTTTGTGTTCGACAATTTTTAATATAAATTTCTCTACCCGTTGTACAAAAATGTTTTTGTTTTCTTCAAATTGTACTTGAGAAATGGGTTTGAATATGGTAAAGCTAATTTCTGTGTGTTACTAAAATAATTAATTTAACTAGTTTTAGTAGTTAAAATTTAACACTTTATACTAGAACTATATTCATATAATTTTTAAAATTTAAATTTTTAAAACTTTTTTAATAAGAAATTTCAATGATTTTTTGTTTTAATATAATTTCAGATCGTCAATCTGTACAACAAAATCAAGATGTTGAATCGGTTAAATTTACTTTTGATGATGATGATGATCCGTTACCACAATATACATTGGTATCTGGTTTACCAACATATGAGGCAGCAATTGATATGTTAAATAAATCACCAAATAGTGTAATACAAGAGAAATTTAATAATTTTAATAGTAGATGTATAACATCAAAAACATATCCATCAGTATTTAGCATATTTACAAGAAATGAAAAATCAAATGATTCTACATTAAATAATTTAAATAATAATAATGAATCTTCAATTAGAAAATCATTATCATCATCTAGTATTGAAAAATCACCATCAGTTATTGAATTAAAAACTTTAGTAAATAGAAATAGCATTGATACAACTGTTAATCATACACAAAATAATAATAATAATAATAATACTAATGAGATAAGAGATAATTTAATATTAGAAAATTCCGACGAGAATTATAGTAATTTTCATTTATTATCTTATAATGTAATGCATCGGAATTCTATTGATCAGCAAACATCAACATCATCAACAAGAACAACACCATCACCATCACTATCGTCATCACCATCACCATCTTCATCACAATTGTCATCACCGTCACCATCACCATCAATATCGTCAATAGCAGAGGAAAACAATGATAATATTGAAGCTGATGAATCATCAGGTGATGAAGAAGATATTAATGAAAAATTACAAAATGAAGAAATAACACCACTACAAAATACAAATAAAAATTAAAATTTCTGTAAAAGTAATGGTTAAAAAATTGTAAAGTCGCATTACAGAATAACTAAATCACGAATTCTAATGAGAAATTTCAAATATTGAACAATTTCAAGTGAATTTTCTGTATTACAACTGAGAAAAAAATAATTGCGTATATGAAATGCAGCAAATACTTAATGATTGAGTACAAAAATACGTAAAAAATGTTCTTTGATTTAGTGGCCTTCACATATGACCAACATAATTTTGTTATATGGAACTGATTTTTACTTAAAAATGTTACTTAAAAATATCGAAAATACAAAAAACAAATGTGCCAAACGAATAAAAATGACTGTTTATACAACTTTATATTAATAAAACATTAAGTTTATATAGTAATTATCTACAATTATTATTAATAAATATAATCGAATAATTATTATTATATCTTGTATACAGAATGTTATAAATTATTACATTAAATATGTAAAATAAACTACTTGTTATATGTAATTAATTCATTCTAAGTAAATTTAAGAATTGATTTTTTAAAATTTTAAATCAAATGAAAATATTTATTAAATTGACAAGTTTTTTTTGGTTAAAAATGTTTTGTAAAATGTTTTCTAAAGCAAAAGAGTTTATAGCCAATACCGACGCATCCAAAAAGAATTTTTTTCTTAAAATTTATATAAAATTTTTTAAAATCTAGAACACATCTCTTTTATTTGGTATCTGGCATACACAATAATATATACTACATTTTGATCAGAACAAACATATTAAGAATTTAGATTGAAGAAGTAGTAAAAAATATGAAAATACATAAATATGAAAGTTCCACAATATTAAACAGAAATTAAAACAAAACTTTAGTTATGGATAAAGTAAATATTATAAATAATCATGAAAAAACAAAAATATATAAATTAATTAGTTAAAAAAATTCAAAAACTTAAGTTGTTATAAATTACTATGTATGTATACATATGAATAGACTGTATAGAAAATAATTAAATTTAAAATTTAGATATAATATGAATAAAACGTTATTTAATTAAGTATATAACTGTGATTTTGTTGAAATATTAATTAATTTTTCAAAGACTTACACAATCATTTCTTCATTTGTGCATTTTAGTTTTTGTAATTATTTTGTAAAATTAATAAAATTATAATTACAATTAGAAAATGAAAAATATGAATTAAAAATTACTTATGTAAAAAAAAACATTTAATATGCTATTATTAAAATTTGTTCCTAATTTATATAAAGAGAAAAATTATTAATAATAATGGAAATATAATTTGTTATACATATATGCATTAATGTAATTTTTCTTTAATCACATTCTATATTAAATGCCTATTTATAGTATAAATTTGGTTAATATTATTTAATAAATAAAAATATCATTTAAAAATATTTAAGTGTTTTTTGAATTTTTAAGATGATGTCAGTCATTAAAGAGAAAGAATATTACATAAAAGTATACTAAAATTACAGCATCTTATACAATCTATTATATATATTAATTGTCAAAAATATACAAAGAAAAACTTCCATGACGCAAATTAATCAATTATTGCATCCGTAGAATGGGTCAAAGTTAACTCTACTGTATTGAAAATTTCAAATAAATGTAGATTAAATATAAATAAAATAAATTCGATTAAATATAACTCCAAGTCTGATTATAATGAGAATATAATAATCATAGCTACATGTTAAGTGACCTACGGTGACAAGTTCAAAAGACTTTACTAGTCCAAATATAAATTTCAGATACCAACTTGAAAGTGTTGAATATCAGCTTGAAGGCATTGGAGATACCAGCTTGAAAGCATGACTCTGATATTATTAGACTCTGAGTTTATTTATTCACTAAAAAGAAATGGTAAAAGTTAAATTACTACTCATTTTGCAAAATACATAATTGAAATGTTTTTAAAAAAATACATTTAAATACATAGTATATATAGTTTAATATCGCAATACTTTTGTATGTCAGTTTATTACAAATTCTTGACCCGAATTATTTCAACGACCTTTCTACCTAACATATCAAATTCTAATTCCACAATTAGTTCGGACCACAGATATTTTGCATACAAATTTGATAAGTAATGTATTCAAAGTGTACAACCACGTGTATGTGCGTCAGAAATTCAACATTTTTCCCGAATTCTTTTAACAATAACGTTGAGTAACGTTGACAATAGTATATCACTCAATAGAATAAAACAATGACAATAAAAATATCAATTTATAGGTTTTAAAATTTCCTAGAAATTTTTCATTGAAATAGAACTTATTGTGGTAAAATTTCAAAGTACCATGTGCGTATATCAACAACTAGCCGATTTATTAAAAATTCAAATAATTTAAAATAGTTGACAAAGTACGATGTCAATTGTACTTATTACAAATGATAACACTTTAATTATTACTATTTTATTTATAGCATGTGGTTTGGCCTGGTTTAACTTGTATACATATTATGTAAAACCGCCCACGTTCCAATTTCACCGGTTTAATATATTTATAGACATTATAATAAAATGTATGTATATGTACTCATGTAGGTATGCTTTAAATATTTAAATAAACTAAAATTAAATTTTTAATTTACACAAAATAAAGTGATCTACATTATTAAATACAATTTTTACAAGTTGAAAAATTTGTATTTCAGACTTATTTCGCACGTAATAGTTTCCGGTTGGTATTAACTTGAGTTTCAAGAATCGAAATCTAATACCTTATAAATGTGGCTGAAAATTGCCTTATGTTTTAGAATAATGAATATTTTAAGTTTTGTTTTGTAAAATTAGTTATTAAACTTTTTTAACTATTAGTTATCAAACTTTTTACTACATGTATTATATTAGTGAAAATCATCAAGCTTTAGAAGAACAGAATTCAACTAGTCCCACAGCGTTTAACTTGAGTCACACCTTTTAAATAGGCTAATGGTATTTAGTTCGAGACCCAGCTCACAAACTGAAGGTTAACTAAAATCCCATTGTCACATTAAGTCTATATGGCAACAATGATATAAATAATTAAAATCACAATTTTAAATATACACAAAGGTAGCATGTACATACATATGTACACTATTTTCTACAATTATTAACATTCATTGTATTCATAGTGTAAGAACTATGTACGAGTAATAGCTCACGTTGCACTTTAAATATCAACATTTCTTTTTTTAATTCATATCTGAACTTGTATACCTTTAGGGTTTTTAGCTGAGGTTTAAAAAATTTAAGTTGTATACTTGATAATAATAATACGTATGTGATATGTTTATACAAATCTACATTAATAATAAACTTTCAGCAATGAAAAAGTTGCTTATTATTTAAAAATTAAAGCTGGCGTAGGCAAAAAATAAAAATTTAAACAGAAATATTTTCTCTTTTGTTTGGTTACCTAATTATTAGGTTTTATGAATATGAAATTTTTGGGGGAATACCTTGGATTGTATTTTAAAAATACATAATAGTCAACATGCCATTTTTTTTTTGTATTCCAGTTGTAGGTTTATAAAATGCTTCTTAACACGTGATTTGAATGTATTTATAGAATATTTTATGGTTTGGAATATACTTATACGAAAATTCATCAAAAGTCCAAATAGGTAAATTCATTAACGGTTTCCAACATTGTTTATGGTATTTTTTTATAAGTAATCAATCAATAAAATAAAAACAATAACAGTGCCTATATTGGTTGGAAATTATTGTATTTATAGAAAATCCAATTTAAGATCGATTATTTCATTAAAAAATTCAAAGAGAATTTTAATGTGGTTACTGTTATTTTTAAGAAAAAGTGGGTTCGTCTATTTTGTATTATTTCGAATTTCCAGAATAAATGTAAAAATATTTACGATTCTGGAAAAAACATATGCGTAAGTTGAAATTTTTGACATAGATTTGAATGGTTAGTTACAATTGGGTCGTAATATGGGGAATTCAAGGAACTAAAAATTCTCTCCATAAACCAACTCTTGTTTACAAATTAAGTTTCTGAAAGAAACTTGCAAAAAGTAAATTAAAAACTTTTAATGCCATATTTTTAAAACTAAATTTAAAAAATAACATAATTTTTAAAAATTAGCATAAAAATTTCAACTACTCTGTATATCAGTAAAAGTTATAGGTCAAGTGTAAACCATTCATTGATAACACTTAATTATACACTTGATCTTATAAACAAAAACCATAATATGAAAATAATTGATAATTACTTATGTGTTTGTCAAGAATTTATTATAGCTATTAGACAAATTCTAATTTTTGTTATACTGAAACATAATACTAATTAATGTAGTAATCACATTAGTACCATAACAAAGTATACTGATTTACATATTCATAACTCATCCACATCATGTCAATATCTATTAACATAAATGTGAGTAATATGTTCTATACAAGCAGCATAATATGAAGAAAGTGAAAATGATTGTGTTGAAAAATATTGATTACAGAAAATGCATATAAATTTATTAAATGTGAATAAAACCTAGGGCCCGGAGCGTTTTTTAATATAATTTACCTTCTCTGGATTACTCCCTGTTAAACTGATTCTGCCTGTTCTGCATCGTCTAGATATCGTAATGTCATTTGATTGCTTATTACTGTATGTATAATTACTTATTACTTGCTATCATATTAAATTTCCTTGTCTTGTTATCATTAGTTTACCAGCATTATTACTATGATGGCTCATAATGTTATGACTTCCACTCGTACCTTTAAAATCCACAGCTTTCCTTCTCTTATATACCAAATACAAATGATATTAGAAAAATCAGGTAGGTAGATACGCATTTTTTATTGTAAGTTGCACTGAAATTGGATAAATTTAAGAAAATTTAATTAGTTACAAATTTTGAAAGATGTTCGGTAAAATCTATACTGTGTATTATGATACGTGTATATAAAAGGAAAGTCAAGCTAAACTATAAATTTCAAAAAAGAATTTAATCATCTTTGAAATTAATAACGATTTGCTGACGAAGTGATTTAATAGTATATTTAGTTTTCTCTTGCAAAAATATCTACTTATGTACATGGGATTAAAATAAATTAGAATTATGATACTAATTATAGCATATTTGAATGATTGTACATTTTAATTAGCTCAAACAATTTTTAATCCAAAACAAAATATATGAGCCTAAGATAACAAAATTAAATTTTAAATTTTCCTTTACTACCAAATATAATAAAGATGTGTAATAAATAAAAATGTTTTACAATCGCAGCGTTATTATGTTATAGTTAACTTTCATTCATTAATGACAAGGTTTCTGTATTTGAGATTCGCTCAACTATATAGAATTAGAAATATCAAAGTTCATTCATAAAACAAATAAGCCACATTGAATTTACTATATAGTAAACGTTTAGATGTTAATTATACATATTATTAGGGTTACCTACTTAGATGCTCATAAATTTATGAATCATCAATTAAAATAAATTTATCTTAATCCCTTACAGTGACTCTTTTTTTTTTATATTAAATTTCCTTATGAATCACTAAAGGAAAATGTTTCAATGGCATTTCGAAATTAAACAAAAGATTAGTCATTAAAAACTGTATGTACATTGCGTATAACTCATTCGAAATGAATATGAAATATGTACTTATAATAAATAAAAGTAAAGGCTTTCAAAGTTGTAAAATTTAATTGAAGCCATATTAATCTGTTTTCTTTTAATTTTTTTTAAATTTTATGACTTGAATTAAATTTCCTGCCGAAATTTGTGGACAACAATATTGGCTTATTTTGTTCAATAATAAGATTCTTGACTTATTGTGTTCAATAAATTGCATGGAAGTCTATTTGATTACTAAAATGAAAATAATATGAAATTAGAAAAATAACAATTATTTAAAATTTCAAAAATTAAATTTAAATTTTAATAAATTTAATTCCATATTATTTGAATACAATGTAAATATATGTACATCGCAAAAATGTACCATATACATATAATTAAATTTATTGTAATAAATAATTAAATACCAATTAAACTACTAAATTAAGTCGTAACCATTTAACTAACCAAAAACTTTTTCTCTTAATGATGGTTTATAAC